TCTTAGTGAAGAGTGTGGAGGAAATCCTTGGTGAGTGAAGCCAAGGTAGAGGACTAGGCTCCAAGTGGTTGGACCGAACCTCTATAAATTCATTGAGCAAGCTCTTCTTCTCTACTCTCTTTAACTTGAGTTTTGTGGTTGAAAAAGGGGAGAATTTTTGGAACTCCAATTCACCCCCCTCTTGGAGTACATTGAGTCAACAATTGGTATCAGAACAAGGGCTCCAATTTGAAGGTTTAACCACCTAGGAGTTGATCGAGAATGGCTTAATTTCTATCTTCTCAACCACTTGAAAGTTTGTCTACCACTAAGCCTCCTTTCTTTGATGGTACTAATTATAATTATTGGAAGAATAGGATGAAGGTCTTCATGCTTGCAAATGTGCCCAAGGCATGGGTTGTGACTATGAAAGGTCTATATGTACCTATGCAAATTGTTGGAGAAAGAGAGGTGCCAAAGGAAGAGATTGATTGGAATGATGAAGACTTGGAGAAGATCATGATCAACAACAAAGCAATTAGTATGCTTCAATGTGCTCTCAATCCAACGGAATATCATAGAGTCTCCGGGTGTGATACGGCTAAGGAGATGTGGGACATGCTAGAAGTCACACATACAGGAACAAGCCAAGTAAAGTAGTCAAAAATTAATAAACTCATTTACATGTATGAGCTTTTCAAGATGAAACCGGAGGAGAGCATTCAAGATATGTATACAAGATTGAATGATATAGTCACCAATCTCAAGGCTCTTGGTAAAGTCTATCCTCCTCAAGAAGTGGTGAGAAAGGTTCTTAGAAGCTTGCCTAAGAGTTGAGAAGCCAAGAAGATGGCAATTGAAGAATCTAAGGATCTCAACACTCTCAAGCTTGAAGATCACATTGGTAAATTGATGACATATGAGATAAAAGTTCAAGGTTATGGTGGAGTTGAAATAATTGAGAAGAAGAAGAAGGATGTTGCATTCAAGGCTAGCAACCAAAAGGAAAAGAGTGAAGATGATGCTAGTGATGGTGAAAACTTCTCCTTCTTAATCTCTAGAGAAGTGAGGAGATTTATGAAGAAGAACGTCAAGATCAAGCTTGCAAGAAGAGATGAAGGAGAATCTACCAAAAAGAGTGTGAAATGCTATTAGTGCAACAAGATGGGCACTATAGAAATGAATGCCCCAAATTGAAGAAAGGTGAGAAGAAAGACAAGAAGAGCATGAAGAAGAAAGCATTTGCCGCCACTTGGAACGATGATGAAACTAGCTCAACGGAAAGTGAAAGCTCCTTGGAGAAAGGTGTTGCAAATCTTTGCGTCATGGCTCAAGAGGATAGCAACAATGATGAGGAGGTAAACTCTAACTTTTCTAATTCAATTAATGAAAGTTCCTTTGAGTATTCTTATGATGATTTATGCAAAGTTCTTGATTGCTCTATGAATGATATTAAGAGACTAGAGAATGAGAATCTTGCTCTTACTAAAACTATTTCATTACTTAAAAATGAGATTGAATCTCTTTCAAAACAAAATGAAATTTTAGTTAAAGAAAATGCTTCTTTAAATAGTGAAATTGCTTCTTTAAAGAATGAGGAAGTTAATGATGCTTTGGAAAAGGAAAATAAGGATTTAAAGAAGGAAAATGAGAATTTAAGGAAGGAAAATGAGGATTTAAAGAGAAAAACTTATGATCTTGAGAATGTGATTTCCAAATTTACTTTGAGTAAAGAAAAATTTGATTCTATTTTAAAATCTCAAAGAAGTGTTTATGACAAAGGGGGCATTGGATTTGATTATTCTAAAAAGCAAAAGACTTTTAAGACTACCTTTGTAAAAGCAAGTCAATCCTATCATCCTAGTGTTACTTGCTATTGTTGTGGTGCAAATGGACACTTTGCTTATGCTTGTCCTTTAAAAAGATTAATAGCTCAAGGTAAAGTGAAACAAATTTGGGTTCCAAAAGAAACCATAAAAACTAACCCCCAAGGACCCAAACAAATTTGGGTACCTAAGATCAAAAATTGATTTTTGTTGTGTAGGTGTGCCTTGTGAG